GTTTTAACAAATTCCCTTAATTTCTGCTTATCTGGAAATGTCCTAATTTCACCATCATATTTGAGGGACAGTTTTGCTGGGTACCTAATTCTTGGTTGGAAATTTTTCTCTTTCTGGGTTTTCTATATACCATCCCATTGTCTTCTTGCCTGCATGGTTTCTGTCGAGAAATCTGACCTTAGTCTTAATGATTGCCCCTTGTAGGTAGCTTTTCATTTTTCCTGTGCTGCTCTCATGATTCTTTCTTTGTCTTTGTCTTTAGTTAGTTTGATGATGATATGTCTTGGTGATTTTCTTTTGGGGTCTACCCTGTTTGGGGTTCCTTCGACTTCCTGAATGGATATATTCTCATCTTTCATCATACCAGGAAAATTCTCTTCCAACAAATCTTTGACAGTTTTCTTTGTGGTTTTGTCTGTCTCTTCCTGTTCTGTAATTCTGATTAAGCATAAGTTATTCCTTTGATGGTATCCTTCATTTTGTTTTGCTCTCTTTTCTGATTTATCCCTTTCCAAAGAAGTATTCAGGTATTTGTCTTCAGTCTCCCTAATTCTGCCTTCCATTGATTCAATTCTGCTCTTTTGCCCATTCAATGTCTTATCTATTTCTGAAAATTTAGTATTAATCTTTTGGATTTCTATGTGTAGATTTTGTATCATTTCTAATTTCTCTCTTTTTTTTTTGTCATTTTGTTCTTGTATTGTCTTTTGAAATCGTTCTAGGGTTTTCTCTGTATTTTCCTTGATCTACCTCTCAATTCTTTGAAGATGCCTAAAAATAATTTTTTTGAATTCTTAACAAGGAGTTCCAATGCTGCGTCTTCCTCAGGGATGTGTTTTGGGTCTGTATCCTGGTCCCTTGTTGCTTCTGCTTTATCTTGCTTCTTTGTGTGGACTGTGATACTCTGTTGTCTCTGAGATGTTGTGATGTTTTTGTGTTTATATTTAATTGGTGATTGTATGTTGGAGTGACTTGCCTACGATTTTCATTTTCTTTGTTTTGTTTGGATGTTATCTACGCAAGCAGGGTATTGTGCTTCTATATTTGCTAGCTGACAACACTTAGACACTCACCACTTGTCTCCTTTCTTGTTGTCAGTCTCTCATACGTCCCTGCCAACCTTGGTAACCAAAGCCTATTCTTAGGTCCCTGGAATCCCAATGAGAATGATGTTACTTTAAAATCCAAAATGGTTGCCACTTGTAAAGATTCAAAATGGCTGTACCCTTGATCACTTTAAATATCCAGAATGGCTGCTGTGTGTAAATAATCAAAATGGCTACGCCCTCCAGACAGCGGAAAGTCAACAGCTCAGGTTGTCTCCCTCCTTGCTGTTTCCCTTCCTAGTCATAGGCCACCAGTGCAGTTGTCCCTGCAGCCCTTGGTGACTGGGGCTGATCTTTAGGTCAGTTCTCAGGTCCCAACACCACTTGGAAATACTCGAGCTGTTGATCCTGTCAGAGTAGCTGACAGTCCGCAGCTCTGACCGGCTCTGTACTCACTGTTTTCGTTCAGTGTCTTCCACTAGTTGGTGCCTAATCCACTTCTGTGTAATTCCTTTCAGAGCTCAGGGCTCCCAAGATTATCTTATGTATCTCTGTCAGTTGGTTTTTCTTTTCTTTGTTGAAGAGGGTCTGTGTCACTTGTCTGCCTATTCTTCCATTTTACCGGAAGTCTGTTATGACTTTTGACATCATAGATTTGTTTTGCTACAAGTGATATCATTTTTTAAAAGAATTTATTGTCACTCTTAATTGCATGTGCTTTCACATACTCTTTTCCCATCCCTAGAAATTCACTGTCAGTTTTTCTTTAAAGAGGCCAATCACCTCTGTTTTTTTCTCTCCAGATGAGTGTAAGTTTGGGAACATTACATAAACTTACTGCTCTGTACTAAATGCTTTCTCTTTGGCTCTTTAGTCTCAGTCACTGGGTAGAACTCTTCAAAACCAGTGATTTGTCTGTGTACGTTTGTCACACCAGAATAAAAGCACAGAGTGAAGTCTACCTAAGGGGTTTCATTTAATGCTAAGCTCCATGAATTAAAAATAGAGATAGAGTATAGAGAAAAATAGGGATAGAGAGGATAGGAAGGGTTCCCTGAAACGTTAAAGTGAGAAAGTCATGATTGTTTGCTGAGTTAGTGGTGGGATAGGATTGGGGCCATGTGAGTGAGCAGGAGACATCTGAGATTACTCTCCGATTTCTGTTTGGGTAACTGGGATAGATGGTGTCATTTATTAGCATTTGGACCATAGGAGTTAAGAGCAAATTTGCTTGAAGTTTTGTTTTGGGCATAGTGAATTTGAGGTGGGCCAATAGGGAGAAATGTGTGTTATGCAGATGGATGGATGAAGCCATGGAGATAGATCTGGACGAGTGAGCTGTGTGATGGATCTGTGGATCACTGGCACTTAGATTGTTGTTGATGCCAAAGACCTGACTGAGCTTGCCTTGGAAGAACGTATAGTTGAGAAGAGGGCCAAGGATGGACTCCCTGGGAGTGTGAAGGTTCTCAGGGGTTAGGAGGGATGCACAGAATCATGTGCAAGAGACAGGGAACCAGATATGGAGAGAGGATGGCGACGTTGTGGTTGCTGAAAGAAGAGAAGGGAGGAATGGATAATGTTGTCATGTACAAGTAGTCCCTGATTTATGATGGGGTTCTGTTCTGATGACCCTGTTATAACGTCATTCTGACGTAAGTCATATCTTTCTTTTTTTTTTCCTTTACAGTTTTCATTATTACTGGCTTTTATTATCAATATCTTTATAAATTCCATCTTCATTTGTTTTTGGGTGTTGGAGACACTGCATATAAAGATCTGTGAGTGAACCTCTGAGTATGATAACATCTGCAAATTACATGCTGCAACATTGTATGTAGCACATACTATTAATGATGAGATGTACACCCCCCCCCCCACTAAAAAAAATTAAAAAATAGACAGTTGTTAAGTGTGTTGTCGTGGTCATTAAATTTGTATGTCAGCTTGGCTGGGCCTGGTTGAGTGGCTGGACAGCTGGCTGTAGTATTCCCTATGAGGAGACTGGTAATCAACTCCATGGTGGGATCTACTGTGAGCAGCTGAGTAGCAGCCTCAGGGATGTGGTCTGCTTCCTGTATATAAGCAGAAGCCTTGGGGAACGATCTCTAGCTTATGGCACTCTTGAACCCTGCATGTAGCTGAGTTGTCGTTAACAGCTTGCCATGCTCTACCAACCTTGGGACTTGTAATGGACTTGAATTAACGGCCTGCTATGTGGGTTGGTAATATTGGGACTGTGCCTTATTACTTGTCAAACTTGGGCTTGTCAGCCTTAGCAGGCAGCAGCTGAGTCAAGAAAAGCCTCCAGCTTCAATGGGGCCGGGAGCAGGAGGCAGAGCTGAAGCCCAAGGTTGAGGGGCTTTCACCCAGCTCCCTAGAGCCTGGCACTTTGAACTCAGACTTAAAGCCTCCAAACTAAGAGAATAAACTCCTGTTTGTTCAAGCCATCCCATTTGTGGTATATTCTTGTCAGAGTGATACTATGTAACCAGAAGAATTACTGTAATTCTAATATGTTACAAGTTGTAGACTACCTGTACCGTGTTGTAGAAGTCTAGGGCAAAACAATTGACGAGTCAATTGGATTTGACAATTAGGAGATCATTGCTGAGAGGAGTTTCAAGAGCTTGGTGGGGACAGAATTCAGGATGGCAGGTAAAGAAATGGTATGTGATAGCTAGAGATGGAAGGGCAGAGGTTGTCAAATGTAGTGTAGCAGGAGGATTTTACTTTAATAGATACAGACATGAACAGGTTCATGTGCTGATGAGAAGGATTCAATTAAGAAAAGAGTGAAGTTGCTGGAGAGTGAAGTTGAGGGAGTGGGGGAAGAATGGGATACAGAGCGTAGGTGGAGGGATTAAACTTGGGTATTCGATGGATACTTTGAGAAAACATTTTGTAGGAGGGAGTGGTTGCTGGTAGGGTGGGAGTTGTGGCCAGTTGCTTGGTTTTCTCAAGTCTGGGGCAAAGATGTCGACTGAGTTTGTAAAGTCCACCAGGTTATTTTATATCCTGCTGTCTTGAGACTCAAGCTTTATAGTAAAGGATTTGCAGGACAGATGCCTGTCAGGGTCTTCATGTGTGTTGTTCATTGTCATGCATTGAATATGGAGCTTCAGGGAAACCACAAGGAGAAATCCTTGGACCATGATGGTCTGTGTGGCCTAGTGACCAGCACTGTGAAACAAAATCATTCTTAGTCCTATAGGGGTATCACTAAGAAATAGGAGAAATGTCACATGGCTAAAGGCATCCCATTTGTGGGATGAGGGAATAGTGAATGCTGTTTGCTTTACACCTGGTAAATTTGGATTCTTTTTCCCTTGCAGAGGAGGTGGCCAAGTTGGAGAAGCACTTGATGCTTCTCCGAAAAGAGTATGTTAAGCTGCAGAATAAACTGGCGGAGACAGAGAAGAGATGCACTCTTTTGGCTGCACGAGCCAACAAGGAAAGCAGCAGCGAGTCCTTCATCAGCCGCCTGCTGACAATTGTGGCAGACCTTTATGAGCAGGAGCAGTATAGGTGAGCACCTGGTTGGGAGCTGGTTGGGGAAACAAACCGTTTTGCTTTATTCTGGGCCCTATTGGCATCTTCTCCTGTTTTTTCCCAAATTTATTTCTGTCTGATCAGGATATTTGTCAGTATACCTTTTTTTTGTAGAATGTAAGATCCTTGAGGCAAGGATTTTTGTTTCTCTTGCTCATTGCTTATCCTCAGCAGAGTGTGGGAGTCATAATGATAGTATTGCTAATGCAGAGAGAATTATCTGTGACTTCTCTGTTCAGGTGGGAGAGGCCACTTTCTTTTGAGATAGCCAAAGAATGAATCTTGGAACTCATGGACAGTATGGCATGGTGATTGAGGCTCATGATGGTTGAGGCTTACTGATAGAAGCTCCAATAGCTGTATGATCTTGAACTTTATGACAGCCTCAAGTTCCTGATCTGTGAAATGGAGATAATAATAATAATACTTAGGGTTGTGTTGTGAGGATTAAATTAATGAATACATATAAGCCATTTAGAGCCTGGCACATAGTAAGTATTCAATTGTAACCTGCTGTTACTGAGTTTTAGGGTAGATGTTAAAGGCTGTGTAAGATTTAATAGGTAAAGACAGTGATATTGCTGCTAGGCAGAGTGGCTGAGAAAAGGCTTCAACATGAGAAAATGAAGAGGATTTAGAGAACAGGAGGTTACATGTCCATGCTAGGAGAGCAGTGGGAGAGGCAGGAAGGGAAGAAGGGATTGCATTAGGATGCTAAGGTGAGGAGTTTGAACTTGATCCTCTAGAAAATGAAGAACGGAGTTGTGGAACTCTCAGAATCAAAGTGGTGTTTTAGGAAGATTAACTGAGTAATATTATAGGTGAAACTGTAAAGAGAAGAGACAGCAGCTGTGTTTTTGTGGTAAGTAGCTCAGGTCAGAAATGATAAAGGCCTGAATTTAGATGGTGGCAGTGGATATGAAAAAGAAACAAGGATGTGAATATGCATATGAGGAAAGAGTTGGCTACCAGGGAGATGGATGATTGGACCAGATAAGACTTAGTACAATTTCAAAATAAGTTGTAATATTTAAAATAGATCTAATTCCAGGACTATCATCTGCCATCTTAATCATTTCTAAAAGGAAGAAAATTTTAATACAACCAAAATTTGAAAAAAAGCTATATACTCTGAATAAAAAAGAACAAAAACTCACTGCCGTCAAATTGATTTAACTCATAGCAACCCCTCTTTGAGTTTCTGCCAACTCGACGGCACATAACAACAACAACAACAACAACATCTTTACAGAAGTAGATTGCTCAGTCTTCCTTTTGAGGAGTGGCTGGTGGGTTTGAACTGCCAGGCTTCTGGTTAGCAGTGAAATACCTTAGGCACTACACCACCAGAGCTCACTCTGAATAAAGGTGAGTAAAATTTAGTTCAGTGTCTTTTTTCTCTCTTTTTCCATGGACAAGTAGATAACTGCAGACGCTCATTTTATTACCATAGGAAAAAATAATATCTTTGTCTCATAAGGATGTATTTTGTTGAAGAATTTAGGTAGTATATTTATGTGTATCTCAGTTACTGGAGTAACTGAAGAGTAGTTTTAAAAATTAAAATAATATTGTATTTTGGTAAAAATATACACAGTAAAACATGGTCCCATTCAACAGTTTCTACGCATAATACTCAGTGAACACGGGTTGCGTTCTTCATATCGTGCCAACATACTCATTTCTGTTCTAGTTATTTTACTCCCATTTACAGACTCACTGACCCCCAAGCTTTTCAATTATGCTTTAGAGTAACTATTTTCTGTTTGGTCTGAGAGAGGTAATTTTTAAAAAGAGTAAAATATTCAAGAGTAGGTGACATTTTTAACTTTTTGAGTTCAGCCGCTGTTTAGTTTAAAGGTGGCTTCAGAGGATAGTTTCACTTCAGGGTTTAAAGAGTATCTCAGGGCAATGTCACTGTTGTTCTTAAGTGCCATCAAGTCGTCTCCAACTCATAGTAACCCTGTACAGAAGAACAAAACAGTGCCTGGTTCTGTGGCAGCCTCATGATCCCTGCTCTACCTGAGCCCATTGTTGTAGCCATGTGACAATACATCTTGTTGAGGGCCCTCCCCTTTTTGGTTGACCCTCCACTTTACCAAGCTTGATTCTGCACCAACTCCACAACTCAAAAGCATCAACTCTTCTTTGGTCTTATTTATTCATTGTCCAGCTCTCACATGCATATGTTGTTGTTGTTGTTGTTTGCCATTGAGTCGGACCCGACTCATAGTGACCCCCTCTTGGGTTTCTGAGGCGGTATCACTACGGAAGTAGATTGCCCAGTCTTCCTTCTGAGGAGTGGCTGGTGGGTTTGAACCTCCAGCCTTCTGGTTAGCAGGCAAGTGCCTTAGGCACTATGCTTCTAGAGCTCCTACATGCATATGAGGTGATTGAAAATACCATGGCTTGGGTTAGGTACACCTTAGTTTACAAGGAGACATCTTTGCTCTTCAGCACTTGAAGGAGGTCTTTTGCAGCAGATTTGCCCAATGCAGTATGTTGTGTGATGTCTTGACTACTGCTTCAACTGGTGTTGATTGTAGAGCTAAGTAATATGAAGTCCTTGACAACTTCAGACTTTTCTCCATGTATTGCGAAGCTGCTTATTGGACCAGTTGTGAGGATTTTTGTTTTCTTAATGTTGAGGTGTAATCCATACTGCAGACTGTAGTCTTTAATCTTCATCAGTAAGTGCTTCAAGTCACCCTCACTTTGAGCAAGCAAAGTATTGCAGGTTGTTAATGAGTCTCCCTCCAATCCTGATGCCACATTGTTCATATAGTCCAGCTTCTCGGATTATTTACTCAGCATACAAACCCTCCCTTCTTGATTTTGAACTATGCAATATCCCCTTGTTCTCTTTGAACGACAGCCTCTTGATCTATGTACAGATTCCTCATGAGTACAATCAAGTGTTCTGGAATTCCCATTCTTCTTAATGTTATCCATAATTTGTTACGATCCACACAATCAAATGCTTTTGCATAGTTGTAAACATCTTTCTAGTATTCTTTGCTTTGAGCCAAGATCAATCTAACATCAGCTATGATATCCCTCATTCCACATCCTCTTCTGAATCCAGCTTGCATTTCTGGAAGCGCTCTATCAATAGACTGCTGCAACCATTTTTGAGTTATCTTCAGTAAGATTTTACTTGCATGTGATATGTGGTAGTTATGTTTTTATGTCAACTTGGCTGGGCCTGGTTGAGTGGATGGGGAGCTGGTGGTAGTTATTCCCCATGATGAGACTGGCAATCAAATCCATGGTGGGATCTAACACAAGCAGCTGAGTAGCTGCTTTAGGTATGTAGTCTGCTTCCCATATATAAGAAGCAGCTTTGGGAATGGTCTCTAGCCTATGGCACGCTTGGACCCTGAATGTAGCCGTGTCATTGTTCAGCAGCCTGCCATGCTCTGCCGACCTTGGGACTTACAATGAACTTAAATTAATGGCCTGCCAAGTGGTTTGGTAGCATCGGGACTGTGCCTTTTTATTTGTTGACCCTGGGCTTGTTATCCTCAGCAGCCAGTAGCTGCCTGAGTGAAGAGATGCCTCTAGCTTCAGTGGGCTGGGAGTAAGAGGCAAAGCTGGACCCCAAGGTTGAGGGGCTTTCATCCAGCCCCTAGAGCCTGGCACTCTGAACTTGGACTTTGAGCCTCCATATTGTGAGAGAATAAATTCCTGTTTGTTAAGGCCATCACATTTGTGGTATATTCTTGTCAGAGCAGCACTAGGTAACGAGAACATGATATCAATGATATTGTTCAATAATTTCCACATTCTGTGGGATCACCTTTCTTTGGAATGGGTACAGATATGGCTCTCTTCCAGTCAGTTGGCCAGGTAGCTGTCTTCCAAATCTCTTGGCATAGCTGAGTGAGTGCCCCAGCATGGTACCTGTCTGTTGAAACATCTCAGTGGGTATTCTGTCAATTCCTGGAGCCTTGTTCTTTGCCAATTCCTTCAATGCAGCTTTGAATTTTTCCTTTAATACCATTGGTTTTTGATCACATGCCACCTCCTGAAATGGATGAACATTGACCAGTTATTTTTGGTATAGTGACTCTGTGTATTCCTTCCATCTTGTTTCACCATTTCCTGCATCATTCAATATTTTGCCCATAGAGTCTTTCAGTATTGCAACTTGAGGCTTAAATTTTTTCCTCAGTTCTTTCAGCTTGAGAAATACTGAACATGTTCTTAGCTTTTGGTTTTCTAACTCCAGGTCTTTGTGCATTTCATTATAATTATGGGCTTTGTCATCTTCAGCTGCTCTTTGAAATCTGTTCAGCTCTTCTATTTTGTCATTTCTTTCATTTGCTTTAGCTACTCTCTGCTCAAGGGCAAGTCTCAGAGTCTCTTCTGACATGCATTTCTTGTCTTTTTAATAACCTCTTGCTTTCTTCGTGGATGATGTCATCCCCCAATTCCTCTGGTTTCTGGTCATTGGTGTGCATTGAATCAAATCCATTGTTTAGATGGTCTCTAAATTCAGGAGGGATATTATCAAAGTCATATTTTGGCTCTCGTGGACTCGTTTTAATTATTTTCAGCTTCAACTTGAACTTGCATATGAGCAGTTGATGGTCTTTTCCACAATCAGCCCCTGGCCTTTTTTTGGCTGAAGATATTGAACTCCTCCATTGCCTCTTGCCACTGATGTAGTCAGTTTGATTCCTGTGTATTCTGTCTGGTGAAGTCCATGTGTATAGGCATTATTTATGTTGTTGAAAAAGGTATTTGCAATGACTAAGTCTTTGGTCTTACAAAATTCTGTCATGTGATCTCCAGTATTATTTCTATCACCAAGGCCATATTTTCCAACTACCAGTAACTCTTCTTTGTTTCCAACTTTTGCATTCCAGTCACCAGTGATATCAGCACATCTTGATTGCGTGTTTGGTCAGTTTTAGAGTGCAGAAGTTGGTAGAAATCTTTAGTTTCCTCATCTTTGGCTTTGGTGGTTGGTG